ACGCGTAAAATTGATAAATAGCAGATTTTTAGCAATGGGCCCAATCTAAGATCCATAGGCCAACATTAGCGCCATTTCCCCTATATTCATCAAACCATGCTTGGCATACACAGTTTTGGTCACAAACTGCTCATTTGTTATAACCTTGCATACAGTTGACGAAACATTACTCTTTTTGAAGCAGTAGATAGAGTAGATTTTAAGCTTGTTATAGGTACGTACAAAAAAGCAGATTTTAATTCTAGTAATAAACTGTATTTGTTTTTGAGTTGTAAAAATAAAGTGAGAAATGCTCGCTGCACATCGCGGACTTTAAGTGTAAAAATGCATTGGTGTTGATTCAAATGTTAAGATTTATCTACTCTTTGCATATATATATATATATATATATATATATATAGCAAGCTATGATGCTAATCTATCAATTATAAATATGAAATATCACGTTTTGTTATTTTTATATTTATTTGATATTCTACACGGGAAAAAATCCGATTCTATTTTCATGAATGAAAAACCATGAAATCAATAAAACTTACCATAACAATGATTCATGATTTCGTTATGGAAATTCATGACACATGGAACACCGTGTTCACCGCACTACACCAAATTTTAGTTTTTATTATCAGTAAAACGGTTTGCTAGATCATGATCAGCAACACAAAAGTTTACTGAAAAACAGCAAACAATATTTTTACCGAAAAATTCAGCTAACATAAACGGTTTGCTGGACACCCAGTAAAGAGCTGTCAAACTGTTGGCGTCACAGTCGCAAGTATTCGCATTGGTGAGGAGGAGGAGGTAAACAAAACTACAAATATATAAAATTATGTTGGAATGAACAATGGTTATATTAAATTTTAATAAATTATGCATGGAAGAGACCCTGGTGATTTCGTCTTTATTATTTGTGTATTTGTATCAAAAGTCTATAACAAAAGTTGCCAGCCCCAAGTGAAAATATATTCGATTTACTGAGTTTATTCATCAAAATGCTGTCAGCTGTCAGAATTTTTTTATTGCTGAAAATCAGTGAAGAAATATTACTGAAATGTTTGCTGATTATCAGTAAAATGTTGTCCTTTTGACAAAAGTAGGAATTGCTGGAAAATTTTGCCCGAAAGTTTGCTGATCTTTCATCAAGGCTAAAATCAGCAAAATTCTGCTGAGTTTCAGTGATTAAAATTTGGTGTGTACATAGGTATCTATTAGAAATACTCAGAGGGAGAGATAGGCGGAGAAAATAAAATACAATTCGGCAGCAGGGATTTGTACCTAAATTATCTTGCAACCCTTGCTAGAAGCTAGCATTTCACATGACTTTTATTTTTGATTCGATTTACGTGCAAAATAATTATTGATTGCATCGCAACATTTTGCACATTTCTTGGTGCCATTAATTAACTGACTACGATCAATTAATCAATAGAGTTAGAATATTGCCTTTGATTCCAAAAACTAGTTGAATTTGAGAAGCACACGAAACATAAAGGAGATTGAATTTCTGTTCCATTGCAATACTAGGCTACTGCCTGAAGCCTAAACAAAATGGTGGATCATCATCATCATCGAAAAACTGAAAATAATCTTAGAACATGAGCATGAGCAAAATTGACCACCCGTGACTGCCAACACCAAAGAGCTGAAAACCTATTCAAACAAATCAAATCAACACACAAAACCAGGGTGAAAGCTGTAAGAGTGAATCATTACAGTATGATGTCCCGTTATCGAAGAGCTGGAAGAAAACTTAAATAATTTAAATCAATAGATCCAGTCTGAATGAAGACTGAAAAATGAGTATAATTATACAGAAATGACCCCATTTTGTCAGCTAGCAAAGTATGTGTATCTTAAACATCCATATTGAAGGAAGAAGATATGAAATCAACATTATTTGGAGTTACTGAAAAATAAGATGGGGCCTCCCTTAGCTCAGTCGGTAAAGGCGCAGCTACGTAGCAAGACCATGCTGGAGGTGGCTGGATTCGATTTCCGGTCCGGTCTAGGAATTTTTCGGGTTGGAAAATTTCTCGACTTCCTTGGGCATAGAGTATGATCGTACTTTTGCCACACAATTATACTAATGCGAACATGGTACAGGCATCGAAAGCTCTCAATTAATAACTGTGGAAGTGTATCTAGAACACTAAGTTGAAAGCACGCAGTAAGCTAATATGCGATTAGCAATAAGCTTGAAATGCGAGGGAGAAGAAGAAGAAAAATAAGAGTCTGATGCGCGGAGAGGCTGACAGGATGGGTCATAGCTGTAATGAGAATATTAGGAAGATTTATCATCATCAAACTATTCTTGAATTAACCTGGAAGAATGCTTGTGAATAATTGTTATACAGATAAATTAAATTGATAAACTATATAGTTCAAACAACAACTCCAGCCTGTAGAAAAGCTGAAAATAGGGAATCTTTACAATGTGGATCCTACGCTATTCCACTATTGTTGGGCTGAAAGTATTCAGTCTAGATCAATAGATTTAGCTATTTGAACCAAAGCCGGAAAAGAAAGAAAAATATACGAATCACTTCCATCGTAGTCAAGATGTACTACTTACCAAGCCATATAATACATATGTTCACTACCCTCCAGCATCGAATCGTCAAAAAAGGACCGCAACACCCACACTGAACACTGCAACACGCAAAAGTTCGCCTTTATTTTATTTTTCATATGTTTTGATTTAGAAACTAAAAGTTAAATTCATGAATTTAGTTCAGTTTTAACACGGATGATTCATGATTTCGGGAATCTTGGTTGCGTTACGCAAACGGCAAACATACTTTTGAATATAAAGACCAATAAATGATCCATAACAAATTTAAAAACGCTCCTTAAAAAACACCCAAATGATCCATAAAACCCCAGTGAAAATCCTTTAAAATGTGTGAATGATCCATAAACAATATCAATATGATCAATATTTTCAGTAAAATTTAGCAACACAATTGTAAAAATGTACCGCTAAATATCTAATGAATTAGCATTGAAATTGTAAGAATTACCCATACACATATTGCAAATGATCCATAAAACATTCAGCAATGAACCTTAAACTAATGAAAGTGATCCAAATAAAATAAAGTTTGCGCTCTTAAAAATATAGGCATGATCCATAAATTAGACATATACTGTTCATGTTTTGGACACTAACTGTTTGATTTTGTTCCATAAACCTTGAAATGATGTTCCATTGTTTTTTTGAGTGAGAAGTTCGAAGCGACGGGCAAGCGTCTAGAATTACTTCCATAAAAATCTTCTATAATTATCTTCTTAACACTCTGAACACGATGTCTGTGGTCGAATGTGTAACGGCAAACTTGTAATGCTTGAAAAATCATAGCTCAACTAATTATTGGCGAATTTCAAATCTATGGGCGCTACTTGAAACTTAAGACTTTAAAGATTCATTTGGTATGAATAGGTTTAAAATCTATTGATAAATTGCTGAGTAATGATTTACCAATTTGCTGTTACACATTTTTACGGAAGCTTTTTTTAGATACTTATTCTAAATGCTCGCCCATCGCTCCGCTCTTCTGACAAAAAAAAAAAAAAAAAAAGGAACAGAACAGTAAACCAGAATAGACACGCAGTAATGGGGCAATTTCCAAGGTTAATGGATCAAATTAAAAAAAAAGTGTCCAAAACATGAACAATATATGTCTAGTTTATGGATCGTGCCTATATTTTTAAGTGCGCAAGCTTGTTTTTCTATGGATCACTTTCATTAGTTTAAGGTTCATTGCAGAATGTTTTATGGATCATTTGCAATATGTTAATAGGTAATTCGTGCAATTTCAATGCACTTTTTTTTTTAATTTAGCGGTACATTTTTACAATTGTGTTGCTAATTTTTACATAAATTATGTATCATATTGATATTTTTTTAAAGGATCATACACACTTTTTAAGAGATTTCCTGCTGTGTTTTATGGATCATTTGGATGTTTTTTAAAGAACATTTTTTTCAATATTTTATGGATCGTCGGTGCATACTTAGGGCTGCCTTACGCAAACATAGCTCATGATATCATGAATATTATTTATGATGTATTTTCATAACATGAAAATACGCTATGTTCATGCAATCATGAGTCATTTTTCACATTTTGGATTTTTGGTTTGTTTCCGTGTACAAAATATTTCGATAACTGAATGATAGCAAGATGTTATACCGCAAGCATACCTAATTCAGCTATTCATATGTTATTGGTACTTGTTCGGGAAATTTTTACACTTTACGTTCGAAAATAAGCCAGTATGATATTTGTCGCCAGACTATGTTCAATACTTTCACACAATGATTTTAGACAGCAAATATTTAAAATTTATCGACGAACAATCATTCTCGCAGAATGAATATCCCGTCGGGAGTCCACTCGGGCATTCATCTGCTCTTCCAACGCAACGGGTGCCCATCAATGTACCACATGCCACTGCATCCGAGCGCCAACTGAAACCAATTTCGCTGAAACTGAAACCAAACTACCTAACGTCACAACTACTACAACTATCCACCGACGGATTGGGGCGGGTGTGCGTCTTGTTCAGCAGCACTTACACAGCAAGGAAAAACATGACAAAACATGGGTGAAAAAACGAGACAGCAGGTGGTTCTCCAGTTTTTCGCACAATATCCCCCCTTTCGTGGTCTGGCACACGATGATGATGACGAGCTGGTAGTCACGTGTTGTTCCATGGAGTGTGCGAGAGCGAATTTGAGCGATTGGAGAGAAAACTCTACTGCAGGCTCTCAGAAGTGCTGCTCCCTTTGGAACCTTACAACGGTCGTCATAACCGTGCTTAGAAGGAATCCCGTGGTTCTAACTCGCGAGAGAGAACTCGAAAAACAGCGAACCGATGGGGAGCATCATCGCCGGAGCGAGAGCGCAAAGCAGCTACCGAAACTTCTTTCGAAGTTTGCAACTACTCGTTATCAACAAATAACTTGATTCGCTTCGTTATTTCGAAGTGTTGTAGACGTGTTTTTTCCAGCCTGCCTGTTTGTTCTTTTTTCCGTTCGTGTTGTTTCGGTGTGGATAGAAAGAAGGCAGACCCGGACCAGCGTAGCAAGTGAAGAAGACGCGCGCTCAACGACAAGGGCGAAAAAAAAAACGAGTCAAACCGAGGCACACACTCGTGGACGGACGTTCCTCCGCAGAAGACTCGCCCGGAGATACTGGTTGCTGTTCCTTCTTGCTCGCTTGCTTCGTTCGGCGGTAGCGCGCGGTTGACCATGTGAGGAGCGAGAGCCCCAAAAGTGTAAAAACGGCAGATCATTCCCGGTTTCGGAAGCGAGGAAAAAAGGTCATCAAAGCAGTCTTTTTTGTTTTGCCAAACCAGGAGGACAAACGGCGACGACGACGGAGGTGGCGAACGCGTTGATTTTCTTGTTGCTGGTTACCGCGCCGGTTAGGTTTTTTTTTTCGGGAACGTGGAGGAATTTTTTCGACAGTCAAAAAATACTCGGTGACCGGTTCGGGGTCGGTAGAGCCTGCAAGTCCGGAATATTAGTGAATTTTTGTCGCAATTACCGATAATGAGTTATGAAGCGTAGGGATGGTTGACAGTCGGGCCTTGGAGTTAATGAGCCGTGTCTAAGGTGAAGCATACGTGAATGCAATCGTATATGTGTGTATGTGCTTTAGTGCGTGTGACAGTCGTGAAAGCATCTACGATTCTTCAGCCGGCCGTGTCCTGAAGTGAAGAGGAACAAGTGGAAAGAAACAAGTGAGTGAGAGTGCATGGAAAAAATGTAAACACCATTAGTGGACAAAAAGTGTAATGATAATTGTGTCAATCAGTTTTTATTTCTCATTGCAATCGATTTCGTGCAATAATGTTGATCGATGATTGCCCCGAGGGCGACATCCCGGTGCAATTGATGGAAAGGAGTGGTTGAAGTGTGAAGGAGACGAGTGAATTTTGTTGCGATTCATTCATAAAACGTGATTAAATTGAACGTGGTTTCCGCGGTAGGATCCGAGGCGCCACAGCACCGTGTCAGTACGGGACTTGAATTGATTCCTTGTTACTTTGAATATCTGAGATTTTATCACACCCGACCCACTCCCGGTCTGTGTGGCATGGTTTGGAATTGAAATGATAATAACAGCAAGGAAATAATAACGGAATCGCATGTTGAGTGAAATTATCGGAAGCTAGGCTAACCGAGGTGCAGTTGACGAACACATGCAAGTGCTTATGTGCTGGTGAACAGGAAACGAATCAATTTGTAGCAACTAAACGAGGGAAGAGCGACCGAGTGACAATACTCTTCGCCGATTAATCAATTGTTCTTTGGTGGCAGAATTTGTGTCGATGACATTGCAGTGTAGATACGTCATTACTCAGATAATAAGTGGTGAATTCAAAGAAATTGATATTTTACACAAAATTTGTTGAGAACCGCGATGTGCTATTGTTTTCCGTTGGTAGTGGCAGCAGTAGAAAACCCAGAGGCTAGTTGCAAGATATGTATCCGTGGTATAGAGAGGTACCGCTAAGTGTTGGACAGATTTGCAGCCCTCTGACAGCGGGAGCGGCGACGGCAACGGCGACCATCAAGACCGAAGCCGGCTACAGTGATTGTATGCTGGATTTTCATAGTAAGGTAAGTCACGTTGTAAGCTGTAGCGATATAAATGCGGATGAACGGTGAACATAGTCTTTGACACACTGGGTACATACAAAACTCTTTTTTTTTTAATCATCCTTTTTCGTTAATTTTTAGTAGGGTGCGGCTCCACTTCGGCATACTTAACCTTCCTTCCATTATTTTTCCTACAGATAAGTGAGCACATAATTTGATGCATGAATGTTGAATGTAAGACGTTGTCCTAATTGATTTTGACGCTTTTGACGGTAATGGGTCCCATATGCCGAAGTAATGCTCGACTCTATCGCGCCTTTTGCTTGATGTATTGATAAATCTTGATGTTAAGAAATCGCTTCTCATTAAGCAAAACCAATCCTTGAAAAAAGTTATATCAAAATATGTTATAAATTTATCAGGCAATGATTGATCAATGACAAAAAACCCTGTATTGTGTTTAAAATGTTTACACAAGAACTCCTCTTCACAAACTGGTGTTGCATTGTTAATAATTCTGTTATGTTTGAATGATATCTGAGTAATTTTTTTGGCATGAACGTTTTAGAAATTATTGGCATTTTCGATACCGTCAAATTTTGCATTTTTGTGAATCTTTTTATGCCGATGCGTGGTGTTTGAGAACAGGATTCAAACAATGATTTTTCAACTACTATTTTGCCTATGGAGGAAAAGATACTGTGGAAATTTCGTATTCTTGTCAGTCTACACAGCGTCCGCGATTCTATTAACATTTTCTCAGCGACACGCACACATGTTTTGTTTTTTTTTTTTTACTTTTATTTGTTACTGGGTGCTCTATACATTTCAATTAACATAACTATCCAAAGCTGTTTGAAAAAGAAATTTCTCAGGGGAGTGTGCCTAATGTCAGCAACCTGTTTTTCTTCGGCTACCTTTCCATTTGAACTGTGTGTTAACCTGTGTGTGTTCTATTATCGACAACTAGAAATCGGCCACATTTTGCAGAGTGTTTATTTAATTTAAAGAAAATCCTGGCATAACAGTTTGCTCAGTCGTAAACTGTATTAAAATTGAAGCTGATGGAATTGTAAATCGTTTAAATGAATACATTGCAAGTTTACTAAATGGAAAATACTGTGAACTTAACGATTAAAATTTAGTTACCTAAAACAGTCCATGGATGCCACTGTTTATGTGAATATTTCAAATATTTTATTGATAAAATTATGCAAAAGGTTGGTTGAATAAGTGTCATCTGCAATTTAACGAAAAAAAATTACGTCTGATAAACTAAATCAACTGTTAACCTTATATTTTTAGATGACATGAAAAATAAACAAGAAAGTCAACCCCAACTATCATGTTTCATAATGTAAACTGCCATGATACGCATAACTGTCCCATGTTTTATGTAATCCTTATGGACTGTGTGACAATTATGTGTATAACAGGAGTACACTCTTTGCTAAATATGTACATTTATACAGCCTCAAGCTGTATTCAATTGCTTTAATGATATGAAGCAACTTTTACTCAACCTGTATACAAGCAAGTCTGGTTTGCTTTCGGGATATTCCTCGATGCTTATATACAGCTGTTATTCTGCTTAGATGTGTGCACTTGAAAGGTGCTTATTCATTTTTCTTCCCGATTATCTAATAATCACTATACAGCTTTATCTTGAAGTTAAATATTGTTTACATGTTCGACATCATGTTTGTTGAACTATTTTTAATTAGAATCAAATTCGTTGAAATTAGTTAGAATTGTCACAACACAACCGGAACCAAGAACCTCATTGCACTAGTTGAAAAAAAGCAGTTTTGATATGAACGCTTGTATGAAAAAGTTTGTCAATCGAACTCGAAATGGCCAAATTGGCAAACCTCGACACTACCAACTTCACTACGTCAACCATTTGAATTAACGTGCAAGTATTTGCATAACTTTCTAAAACTAGATGGCCAGTAACGCCTGGTGGATTACCTTTTCGTGGTGCGTTACTGGAATTAAGATCTACCTCCGAAACATACTGCGAATTACTAGGGGAACAGTATTATTTTTGTAATCAAAGGAACACATCTTAGTCCTTTTTGCTTTTTATGCCTTGTTGATAATGACAAGACTCTGCTTTGTCCACCGAGGATGATCTTGAAACAAGGAAAAGATTAGCTAGGCAGTTATTTTTCATCTACGTGATTCCTAATCTTTTAATCGCTGTTCTCTAGTTTGAAGTGGTTAAGAGATTCTGATGCATGGACATCATCGGTGTTATTGCTTGATTTTGTTGCCTGGGTTGGATGGTGTTCCAACACTCCGAAAGGCATAAAGAGCGGAACCTTACAATTAGAGTTGGATCCTTGCGATAAAGGCAATAATGAAAACTGTATCAAAACCAAGTACTTCATCATATCTCAATAGTGAGGGAGTAATATAACATACACTAAACTAAGGACACGGGGTATACTACAATACATCAAATGACTGGTCGTCCGAAGGGAAAATACAAATCTAGATCGTTGAGTTGAAGTTCTACAATAGTGCACATGAAACACTTTTCTCTAAATAAGATCTATAAAACCACACACATCTAAAAATATTCCAAGTAAACAGTTCAAATGCTTCCACATAAGCAGTAATACAGCGGCGCCGGTGGTGTAGTGGTAAGCGTGATTACCTCTCACCCCAGCAGGCCTGGGTTTAATACCAGTCGGCGCCTCCGGGATGTTCTAAGGCATAACATCTCATCTCATCCGTTGGTCCCCGGTTCATAAGTTGATGGGTCGATAGGTAGGGTTCAGGTGCGGGAGCTGCCTCCCTGGCGTCGGTAGCATTGGTGCTCAGCACGGAAAACAAATCAAGGAAAAAAAAAAACAATTTATTAGTTGAGTACAGGTTCCTGTGAAATTAAACCGAAAACACGTGTTGCCAAAAACATGAAGGCACTTTACTTTCATGTTTATGGCAACATTTGTTTTTGGTTTCATTTTATTTGCTATATAACCAACGAGCACAAAATACATGACATTAGTAGCAGGGCCGGATTTGATGAGACTGCTGGTTGAACCCCCTGCCCACGAAGGCTGTGAGCAAATTAAAGTTGTATTTCTTAGTTTATCATATTTTATCTGCTAAAGCAAATAATTTTCATTTCACGTTCCATCATGAAGTTTAGTCCTGAATTTCGGATTTTATTTTAAACGTTGGTCTGTTTATATATAGGTGATCAACAAACCAATTTTTGAGTTGATTAAAAATATCTGTCAGCAAATCAGCTTTGACTAATTGCAAATAAAGGTCGTTGAGAACATCGATAACTAACTGAGTTCTATTTGTTTGCTGAACATCGAAAGTAATGTTCTTAAGAAAATCGATTTTGAAGCATAGACGTCAAAATGTAGGTATCACCCGAACAAAGTCGGATATCAAAATAATATTAAAATGATATCAAATTATGTTTTTATTTTTTTTTTCTTACGAGTCAATCAGAATGCTTGCAATTTTCTTTATGAACATCACAAAGACAATTCTGATTTCAACAGTTATATTTTACAACATTTATTGATATTAATCTACCTGCGAATTTAATTTACTAATCGATATAAGATAGATATCGATAGAACTGATTTAAATACAGGTTTGTTTTTATTTTGAATAAATGAATAACATTTTTTGATTATGAATCTTGATATCAACGGCGCCGGTGGTGTAGTGGTAAGCGTGATTATACCTCACCCAGCAGGCCTGGGTTAAATCCCAGTCGGCACCGTCGGGATGTTCTGAGGCAACAAACATCTCTGATCACGAAGTAAAGCCTTTGGTCCCCGGTCTATGACTTGATGGGTCGATAGGTAGGGTACAAGTGTGGTGCTCAGCACGGAAAACAAATCAAGCAATAGATTTCAAAATATTCAGATTACTAAATTTGATATCATGGTACCAAAATTATAACTAATTTAGTTTTAATTTTTATTTATTTTTTCCTACCATAGTTATAATAACATATTGATTACTTTTTTTTTATTATTCACGGAATTACTGATATTAAAACGCATACAAAAATTGTCCAGCTCAAACCTTTGGGTAAGAGGTGGGACCATCATTATTATCATACATAGATCTGTTATCAAGAAAACGAATTGTTATATTTTTAATATCCTTCACATACCATTTAGATCTCATTTTTGTTATGATTACTGTTAACTCTACCACACGGTAGGCAAAATATGTTATCACGAACGCTTTAGTTTTTATTTTGTTTTCATTTTCTGCTCGGGAAATGCTTCGTGGATGTTTCATATTATTTTAACTGATTTGTATGGTTTGATTGATCTTAGCAAAAAAAAACAAAGAGAAGGAACGCAGCTCTAAATCGTATAACGTATCTCGGAGACAAATTGATTACATAAACCGTAAATTTCAAAAATTCATTCTTTCATTAAAGAAAATTGACAAAATAATGGTTTTCAAATCAATAGGCTATGATGATGCTATCGTTCCGCATGATTACTTACTATATTGAGTAGTTTAGTTTAGTTTCTGAACATTTTAAATCTCAAATTGTAAAATGTAGATATTGGGTGAAATTGGTAAACTCCTCAAATGGCTTTCGAGATATTCTTTTTAAGTTTGGGTTCCCTAAATCGTCGTAGGAAATCTATTTTCAGTAGATATTATGGAAAATATTTTTACTAAATGCAGTTGTGCCTATATGTAGGCATTGTATTAATGCACTGGTAATTTCACAGAAAATCATTAATTTTCAACATTGGGAACATTTTACCATATTAAAAAAAAATAGATTGATTAACACTTAGTTCAATGACAAATTTTACATTCATTTTAAGGACAACAATCGTTCCAATCCTATGATTCGTATGTTTGAAAATTAGGCAAAAAATCAAAGAAACTCGTTAAAGCTACCATTAGAGCAGCGCTGCCCAACGTGATAGTTATAGTTAATTAAGCTAGTTGATCTAGTGACCCAGCGTATATGTAAGCACCCCATAATGAGGTATTTTCATCTGTACTGATTT